ACTTAGGGACAGATGCTCTTTTGCCCACTTTCCAGAGACCACGTCGCTTTGCAGCAGTCATCCTGGGCTGGTAAATTCGGGAGATGGGAACTGTCCCTGGTCTGTGCACCCTCATGTCTGCTCTCTTGCCAGTTCATAGCTCCTCCTCACTGCCATCCAGGAGCAGCCCTGGGTTGTCTGCGCCTCATCATTTCAACCACCCATGGATGCCCTGGTGTCTTTTACAATAGGAAGCCACGACATTTATTATAACGCAGTCAGTACTCCCCTTCTAACACATGCAGTCAACAACCTTGGACTTTGTTTTAATAGGAGTCCTTCTCCACTTAAAAAAGTGCCCCTCCCTGTTAGTCACTAAGCCAGTCCATTCATAGGACTGGGGCACTGCTGTCCTGTTGATGCACAGTTGATGGAAGATATAGTGAAAAGGACATGATCCTGCTTTCAGCCTAGAATGAGTTTCCCTTGGGAAGTAAGAAGGCATGCGAGCTCCAGTTCCAAAAGGACCAAGAGTGAGTGGGGTTTTGGCTTTGCTAGGTAGGCCACGCCTCTCTTTAGAACCTGTCACCACTGTCCATGCAGGGAACTCAAGGGTAGCTTATGATGTGCTGCTGGTTTGTATCTGCCAATGCCTTCAGCTGATTTGGCATCAGCTGCCTGAGTTTTTGTCTGTTTTATTCATCTTGGGCAACTCAGTGCTTTCCACCACAGGGCCTTTGCACATGCTACTATCCCTGTATAGAGTTGCCCTGTCTGCCTCCCTCTCTTTTCCTGGTTAATTCCCATACAGCCTTCAGAAGAAATTGGTTACAGCAACTTTCTGTCTTCAGACTTGCAGAACTTTAAGCCAGTCAGTTTTTTACTAAAACATTGCAAGGAAATACGATTCTTCTATCTAGTTCCTATTTCAGTTTACAATTGCACTCTCTATAGTTATCTGATAAATGCCCATTTGTTGCCATTGACCTCCAATTTCTGTGAGGGCAGGGGATTGTCTGTGAAGGCCTTCTCTTTACTTCAAAGCCCCTGTGCCACCTGACAGAGGGGCACCAGGCACGGAGTCTGCACCATAGTCTCGGCACACACTGCAGATGGGGCTGCCGGACACTGAGAGTTGTGGTGCAGCATGATAGGGCTGTCACAGAGGACCTCAACACTTGTACTAGAGCCTATTCTGCTATTATTTAGGGTAAGAAGCTGACAGCAATGAGGATGACTTACTACAGATAGTCTATCAAAGAGCTTCAATTCCTAAATTTGCAGAGATTTACTCAGTCCAGTCAGTGCTCAGGCTGCCATGTCCCATTTCTGTCTGAGGTCGACAAAACATGCCACAGTTGCTTGGTTTTTCCTTGCCATCAGCCTTTAGCACGTAACTAAAGCTAGATAGGATATAGTTTTTTGCATATCTTTTTTTTAAAAGATTTCTTTTATTTATGCAGACAAGAACTGAAGTTGCGGCCAGAGATGCAGGGTGTGAGAGGATTCGCCAGAGACAGAGTGGACAGCAGAACAGGCAGATCAACTGAAATACACTGGAAGGACAGGAGAGGTCTTCTTTGCTATCTGGGTCACTTCCCTGGCTGGGGCTCGAACTCATGGTGCAGCGGCTGCAGATAGCTTTATAGTTATATGCTTTAACCCATTACACCACCAGGGAGGGCCCTACATATGACATTTTTTTTAAAGATTTATTTATTTATGCATATAGAGTTGGGGTACAGGCCAGAGATGCAGAGGGTGAGAGGATTCACCAGAGACAGAGCGGGGAGCAGAACAGGCAGATCGACGAAGTACACTGCTGAGGGGAGCAGCGGGCGGGTCAGGAGAGCTCTGCCACGCCATGTGGATCTCCTCCAGGGCAGGCGGGAATCGAACTCATGAGGAACTGGTTTCAGCTTCTTTGTGCAGTGCTTTAACCCGCTGCGCCACCAGGGAGGGCCTACATATGATATTTTTTAATGAAAGTAGAGCCAAGAATTGAAGGATGACTGTGAAATGAGTACTCAGCTTTCTGCAAAATCAGTGCTGACAACCTGGGTAAGAACTCTGATGAATGACTGCCTGTCATGGCCAAATACCACCTTCCCAACCATGTGGAACATTTAAACACTTACATTTAAACACTGGCTTCTCACTAGACAGTAAACTAAAGACAATTTTAAAAGACAAGTAAGTTCATTGATTGAGGGGAGATCGGAGACTGCTTTCTCCCTGTGATAAAAGTGTCTTCATTCACCCTGAAGCCAAGTGCTGCTACTCAGAGTCTTAGGAATCAGAGCATGACTAAGGTTGAAGGAAGCCGGTGTGGTTACTGCCCCATCCCTCTGCCTCCTTGTACCCTCACATCGCTAATGTGTCCCCAGACACGTGCTTGGGGTGCTTTGTGGTTGTCCAGGTAAGCCCCTAGAATTGAAAAGGCGCCTAACAGAAGAGAAGGGCTACTAGGAGTCCCGCTCTCCCCCTGCAGCACTGCAAGATTTCCTAGAATGGGGTCAGGAGGAGTGTTAATGTTCACTTTTAACATGTGATAGAGCACTAAGCACGAAAGAATGTCATCTTTTAACATCCTGCTTGTCTGTAAGTATGTTACTCCAGTGTTTCTGAGAAAGCAGAGTTAACAGCCGGGAAAAAGCTCAAAACTTACACTACTTCCCGTACTTTAAGTGGAAAACGAAGGCTTAAGGAGGTTAAATCATGGTTCAGAGGGCAGCACAGCTGAGGCCCCTGCTGCCCATCATGTTCTGCTTTGTCACCCGAAGAAGTCCCTTCAGCCATCGCCAACAAATTTATCAACGCTTCAGCAGCCAGCTCGACACAAGAGCTGCAAAAGCTCTTGGCAAGGTCCATCCTGTGAGCAGAGAATACGCTCAGTGGAGTCACAGTGGGCAAATGAAGAGAAGGACCCAGGCCCTATCCTGTGGTCCTGCAGCCCAGCCCCAAGTGGAACATGGCAGAGCCAGAAAGCCTTCTCTCTTTCCGCTGGTGTCTCTGTCATCAGCCTGGGAATCCTGCAGCTCAGTCCAACCCCATTCACCGAGTGGACACTGCCAGAAACTGGTGGGTGTGGGGGAACAAGGAGATAGTTCAGCTTTAAAGCCTTCCAAGAAGTTGCAATTACACAAGGCACACAGACACTAGCATTGACTTATTTTGGATGCCCAAGATAACTCTGCATATCTGCTAGGAACGGCTGTGTGCTGCTGTGTGTGCATGTGTGTAGGTGTGTGTGTGGACATGCATGCTTTTGGGTTTGGGGACTCTATGCCTTAGGTAGGAGCTTCCAGTCCACAGTCAAGCCCAGACTTGTGCAGACTTGGCTACACATTTCCCCCCAGATATAGATGTCTGTCACCTGAATGCAGATTCCTATAGCATCTTGACCCTGCAGCCTTGAAACACACTGAGTCAACCTGGATTACTGCTTACGGTTCATTCTGCTATCTGGCCATGTGCAGGGGTAAGTGTTGCTATGTTCAAAGATGGTTTAGGTAAGACGGCGCAAGGAAAGGGAAAAGTGGATTCTCCAGTTATACGGAAAAGGCTTAAGGTAAGACCTCTTGAGTCACCTTGTGCTGATACTGGAGGACCTCCTGATTTTACAGGTTGCAGTGCTGAAGACTCTGATATGCAGTCACTCGCCTGGGTCAAACAACACTCATATCTAGGACAGAACTCAGCTCTCCCGGCTCAGCCCCACATCGTAACTATCTGCTCACAACCAGTAAATCTGGCTTTGTCCCAAGTATTTGAGGGAAGGGCCTGACACTACTTTTCCCTGGCTTTCAGAGAGCAGCACACTGTGCAAACCTGCCCCATCCCTCCCTCATCTTTAGCCTCTTCACAGCCCCACTCTGCCACCTGGAAGGCTGGCTGGCTGCCCGAGAAGGTTCCGGTGGCGATGTCTGCTGCACTGACAGCTCAGTGCATTTTCTCCTGAAGCTCTGCTGCCTGCAAGCAGTGGTGCATGGAACTGACCACTCTGAAGAGCAGAACTTGCTTTCCAACTGCTCTTCTCTCTTCTCACTGTCAGGACTGGCAGCCAAACCCAAAGAGATCTTTTGCTCTGCTAAGCCAGGTGGAGTCTCCCACACAGAATCTAATAGCATCTTTTTATGCCAGATTCCAACCTCAGCATTGCAAGCTCTTTTTCAGCCCCCACCTCTGATTTTGGCAGAAAGCAAGACTGAAGCTCCTTTTAAGCTGACTTTTTTCCTTTTGGGAAAGATTATTTATCCTCCGGTTAACATCAGGCGAAAGTTATGGCTATTTACTGTGTTCAGCCTACACATGTTTATTATCTACATCTGGCTGATGTTTTACTGAGGTCGACTTTTTAAAAACAGTGGGTAAGGGAACTGCTCCCTCTCTCCAAAGTTCAGGCTGATATCCATCTGCAGTCTCTGGCTCCTCGTCCCTTCCCAACTCCCTCCCACTTACCACCATGGCATAAACCACCAGCTTAATGAAGTCTTACACTCATCTACCAAAGGGGTGGAGCAAGAAATCACATCATCAAACTAGATGAGATTTATCCTTTCTGTTCTTTATTACTGATCTGGTGTTTTGCTCTATAGCAAACCCCGCATCTTGTGTTTCCAAACCTTTTTCCTCACAGGGAGCCTACTGCTAGCTCAGGGCAAGCATGGTGACACTTGTTAGGTAAGCAAGCATGGGACCCGGGGGTGACAAAGCTGGTGCCCCAGGCAGTGGCACACGAATTGCACTTAGCACAAGCGCTCAGGAATGGGATAGAAGCCAAGAGGGTGTGCAGCCATCTTCCTTCCCTTTCCCTACCTGCTTTGTCCCCACCGAGGCAGTCTGCAGGCCACAAGGATAGAGGCAGCCTCTGTCTCTGGACAGTCCTCTCCGAAGCAGAGTTGCTGTCGTAATCACATGCAAATGGCCATTCCTTCTGCCTCTCTCCCCTTGAAAAATAACCAGAGGTTCAGCGTGATTACCAGAGGAGTCCGCTCCAGCTTTCCTCCTCCCCCTCCTCCTCTTCTTTCTCTTTTTCCTCCTCCACCTCCTCCTCCAACTCTCTCTCTTCCTCCATGTCTTCCTCTTCTTCTCTGCCTGCGAGGCAGCTTCGGAAAGCCAGAGCACTGGGGACAGGAGCCGGCAGAGGAGCTCTGACCCTGCTGAGCCAGTAGCGGGAGGTGGCTGTGGTGGGAACACCTGGGAGTTCTTAGGTGGGCATCCTGAAGGGGTGGCCTGCTGGGCCGGAAGTGTGTATAGACCTCCTCACCGCCGGCAATGATCCAGAGGGGTAGAAAGGGCTCTTCAGAAGGTCGTGGTGCCGGTGAAGGGAACCTGCTTGCGGCTGGGCTCGGGCGGTACAGGCTCCTGCTGACAGGGGATTCGGGGGCATATGCACCCTGCCCCAGCTCTGCCTTTGAGAGCAGTGGCATAGTAGTCCAGGGGCTCTTCCTCTGCGCCACCTGCAGCATCCAGGAGACAGCAGCGCAGGCACAGAACCCGCTGGAAGGAACGACGGAAATTGTCAGAAAGAAAGCCGTAAAGGATGGGGTTGGCGCAGCTGTTGGCATAGCTGAGGATCAGGGACACGTGGTTGACCGTGGCATCAAGGCTGGTCACAAACAGGTTCAACAACTGCACCACATAGAAAGGCATCCAGCACAGCACAAAGACAGCCACTACCATCAGGACCAGGCGAGTGATCTTCTTCTCTGATCGCCTCCTCTGCTGCCAGCCTGCCCGCAGTGCCACGGCCCGCATCTTGCCCACGATGAGCAAGTAGCACAGGCCAATGGCCAGAACGGGCAGCAGGAAGCCCAGCAGGAAAGTGTAGACCACGAAGACGGCTGACCAGGCCGGGTGTGGCCAGTGCAGATTGCAGACCACAGCTTGGCCACCCCGAGCAGGCCTGGTGTCCGCGAAGATGGCGATGGGCAGCGTGACCAGCAAGGACGCCAGCCAAACGCCCACGTTGATTAACTTGGCCACACTGGGTCGCCGGTAGGTGGCGGCGCGCAGAGGGTGCACCACGGCGACATAGCGGTCCACACTGAGCACGGTCAGGCAGAAGACACTGGTGAACATGTTGAGGCCGTCCACGCCGAGCACCGCGCGGCACAGCACCGAGCCAAAGGGCCAGTGGCGCAAGGCGGCAGACGATGCCACGAAGGGCACGCTCAGCATGAAGAGCTCGTCCGCGATGGCCAGGTTGAGCAGGTAGATGTTGGTGGCCGTCTTCATCTTGGCGTAGCGGAGGATCACAAAGATGACCAAGGCATTGCCCACCAGTCCCAGCAGGCACACCAGCGCGTAGATGCACTGAATGGTGACCATACCCGCTGCCCTCGCGTCGCCGGTCCCAGTCGCCAGCTCCCCCTCTTCCGGACCGCGGCTGGCGTTGTCCTCTGGGGGCCAGGAGGTCTCCAGCCCGTCCTCGCCCCAGCCGGGCAGCGTCGGAGAGGCACTCATGGCCAGGCGCCGGCCAGGACGTTAGGAGCGCAGCTGGCAAGCGTGGCGCCCGGGACCGCGGGCGCGGGGCAGGGCTGCGCGCAGACGCGCGCCTCTCTCGCCCGCTCCGCATTAATAGCAGGCTGCGGGCACCGCGGGGAGCGCCCGCCAATCCCCGTGCAGCGCGACCCACGGCTGCGGGCGCCTAGTTAGCTGGCACCGCCTCTGCCCGCGCCCCTCCGCGCCCCTCCGCGCCCCAGCTGCCTCCGCCTCTGATGCCTGGGCGCCTAGCCGAGATTTCCCATCTTCACCACCTTCAGAGTAAGGGCTTACACTGGACCGGCAGCCTGGGCTCCCAGCTCCGCTGCAAATGTTTTCTCCCCTCATCTGGCTTCCCTCCTCCACTTCACCTCACCTCAGATCCCACTATTCTCCAGCCCTTTGCTGCCCACCCCCTTTCCTCTCTAAGGGGGCTGCTGTCCGTGTCTCCCAGACCAGCTTTTTCTTAATGAGATGGCTAGTGCCTGCCAGCAGCTTGACATCCTCCCCTCCCTGCCTTACCCTGGGGCCCTTTCATTCCTTTGAAGACCTGTCCCGTGTTTAGACTCATTTCATAGAGAAGGAGCCAGAGGCTTCTGCCAGCACTGAGGCTCTGAGCTTCAGGTGTGCCCTGACCTTAGCTGCCCTCTCCCCCAACCGTGGGTACCAGGGCTTATTTCCATGGGGTGGGTACTGGGAATGGAGATGGACAAGCAGAGGCAGACATGCCTCAAAGACAGCAGCCTCTGGCCTGGGGCACTGGAGGGTGGGAGGGGGTGCTTTCTGGCAGGCAGGAGCATGACAGCCCTCTGGCTGTCTGGAAACTTCTGCTCTTTACTGCCTTGGGGAATCGGAGTTTCCAACAGGGTTTCTGAAATGTGGCTTGGAAGGGGGAGTTCTGGTCAAGTTTTAAAATGGGTTTCTTATTGGAAGTCCATGCACTGGGATTGGATGATTGAGGCTGGATGATCCTGGACAGGACCCCAACAGGAAATGCCCTACAGTAACAAACTGCCACCTCACTCCATCCCCAAACACATACAATCCTGTGTTCCTGTTAATTTGCCTATGGCACAAGCACACTTAGCAAAATGGGGATCTGCTTTGACAGATTATCCAAAGGTGGGTTCTGGCCCTCTGAACCCCATGTCTGTGGGGTGGTAGTCTCCATGAGCCCCCAGCACAGACCTAAAAGCCCTTTGGTGGGTCCAGACGTGATTCTGAGGCTGACTGGGCTGGGGCCCCTGCTCCAGTGCTGGGTGTCTATCGCTGATGTGGAGAGTAGTGATGAATAGAGGCCCACCCCCTTCAAAGAAGAGGGTAGAAGGCTTCTGACTGTTGTCCATCTAGGCTTTTGGGGGGGTGGAGGGGCGGGGGG